AGCGTACAAAGCTCTCCAGGCTACTGGTATTATTATCAAATACGGCTTAAGCTACCAATCATACATACATGCAACATATATACTTCACAAAGGAAGGAGAAAACAGCCGAACCCTAGCACCAGAGACAAGTCTGTGCATGGATTGCATGGGCCAAATAAATGCAAGTGGGCTCGTGGGCTATGTACAGCAGGAAACAAAACACACCGTTTAACAGCCTCCCCCAAATTGATGCGGATCGCAAAGCATCAATTTGCTCGACAGGTACCAATGAAGACTCGAAGGGAAGGACTTGGTGAGGAGATCAGCTGGCTGTTCCGCGGTAGGTATGTAATGAACATCCAAAGTTCCATCACGAACAAGATCACGAACATAGTGGACATGTATCTCTATGTGCTTCGTGCGATCATGAAGCACCGGATTCACTGCAATACGAATAGCACTCGTATTATCCACAAGCAGTTGCATAGGAATTGCACAGTGCATACCCAGATCAGAAAGAAGACGACGCAGCCAAACAATCTCAGAAGCAACTTCAGACATGGACCGATATTCTGCTTCGGTAGACGATTTGGAAACCTTATCCTGCTTTTTACAACACCATGAAATGAAGGCATTTCCATACTGAACACACCAGCCTGAAGTGGAGCGACGCGTGTCAACACACCCGGCGAAATCAGAATCAGAGAAGGCACGAAGAGTAGCCGAACCAGCTACAGGAAAGAAAATGCCCACATCACGAGTACCCTGCAAATATCGGAGAATACGATGAACTGCTGCTAAATGATCAGTGCAGGGACTAGCCATAAACTGACTAACAACCTGTACGGCGTAGGAAATATCGGGTCTTGTAGCTGCGAGATAAATAAGACTACCAATGATGCTACGGTAAGCAATACCATCTGCTAGAGGATCTCCAGAATCTCGTCCAAGGCGCAGGTTAAGTTCCATGGGAGTGGAAACTGGTTTGCACGTGGCAAAGTGATGATCATCCAAAATATCGGAAATATACTTCCGTTGATTGAGCAAAATGCCAGTAAAATTCCGAGTAACCTCGAGTCCGAGGAAATATGACAGCTCTCCGAGATCCTTGATACTGAAGGCATCATTAAGACCCTGCTAAAGATCATTGATGCCATGAACATCAGTGCCGGTGATAACCATGTCATCAACATAGAGGAGAAGAACAACGATGCCGGCCGAGGAGGTCTTAGTGAACATGGATGGATCATTCAAGCTTTGCTTAAACCCAAGAGCAGAGATGGTGAAATGAAACTTCTCAAACCAGGCTTGGGGTGCCTGTTTGAGACCATAGAGGGAACGATGTAGAAGACGAACTTGATCAGGAGTACCCAATGTATAACCTGGCGATTGCTCCATATAAATTACCTCATCCAAGTTGCCATGTAAAAAGGCATTCTTAATGTCCGGCTGATAAAGAGGCCAATTCTATTGGGCAACAACAGCTAGAAGAGTACGAACTGTTGACATTTTAGCCACAGGTGCGAAGGTCTCGTTGTAGTCAACGCCAAGTTCCTGAGTAAACCCCTGAGCAACCAAACGAGCCTTGTATCGATCGATAGTGCCATCCGGATTCATTTTGACAGTGTATACCCATCGACAACCAACCACAGACGTAGAAGATGGAGGACGCGGCACAAGAGTCCAAATATTACTGTTATGAAGTGCATCCAACTCACGTTGCATTGCTTTTTCCCAAACCGCAACACCCCTGGCCTGTTTGTACCGAGTAGGAACAACAAAAGTGTCGACACCGTGAGAAAAATAGTCATGAAACTTGGGCGGAGGGATACCTTTGGTCGCACGCAGGGACCGGCAAGGAGGAGGTGGAGTAGCTGAGGCGGACGATGAGATTGAAGACGCGGCAGCAGGGGCTGGAGGTGAGCTGGGTGGTGCAGTGGAACTAGGTGAAGACAAAATAGTTGCTGAAGTCGTGGAAGGGGAGCTGCTTGTGGTGGGGGAAGATGCTGACGAGGAGTTCGAGTTGGTGGGGGGCAGACCGGGTGAAGGGGGGTCAAGAGGAGCATAGGGAGGATCATTGCCATCATCATGATCACCAAATATAGGAAGTGACGAAGAAGCTGGGAAAATGGATGAAGATGGACTAGACTCATGGAACATAATATGTTCAAAGAAAACCACAGTGCAGGCTATACACATTTGTTGCAACTCGGGATCATAACACAAGTAACCTTTGTGAACATCACTATAGTCAAGAAACTCACACCTAGCAGTTTTAGATGACAATTTAGTACGTTCACGCCTGGGACGAAGAACAAAACACAAACACCCAAAGACACGGAGTCTAGAATAATCCAGATGACGATGATAAAGCGCAAAAAAAGGGGTTGACATTATTCAAAACTGGGGTAATTTGATAATTGATGAGACGAACAACGGTGGCCACTGCCTCAGTCCAAAAGCGACTAGGAACTCGAGATGCAAGAAGAAGTGCTCGAGTAAGTTCAACGACATGCCGATTTTTGCGTTCTACAACACCGTTTTGCTGAGAAACACCAGGACAGGACATTTGACTCAAAATACCAAGAGATCGATAGACATCATGAAGAGGAAAGGAGCTAAACTCTCCACCAGGATCATACCGAATGATTTTAACTGTTTTACCAAATTGAGTCTTGATAATTTGCAAAAATTCGGTAGCAACAGCACGAAGATCAAACTTTAAGCGAAGGAAGTATATCTAGGTAAAACGAGTGGCATGATCAATAAAAAGGGAAAAATAATTATATCCATGACAATATATAGTGGGAGCGGGACCCCAAAGATCAGTATGAATGAGATGGAAAGGCTCGGTGATAGCAGTAGTACTAGAAGGAAAAGAGATACTAGCAGTTTTAGCTTCAACACAACTAGTACATGAATGATGTGCAGAAAAATCAACATTATTTTTGCCCAGTAATTACTTCCGAAACATCTTTACAAGACGATCTGAATGAGGATGTCCTAACCGAGAATGCCAAAGATCCCAGACACTGTCTGATTGCTCGAAAAACAGGAAGAAGGAAAAGAAGACTGACTACTGACAGACCTATTGAAAGGACTACTAACAAATGACGACTCTGAAGACTCACGAAGCTCCTCAAGCTGAAAGATCCTCCCATGTTTATTCCCCTTTCCGATCTGCCTCCCCGTCTTCAAATCCTGTATCGAACACCCAGACGGTGTAAACAAAACAGAACAACCTTGCTCACTAAGTTGCCCAACAGAGACCAAGTTGGGAACCAATTTAGGCACATGAAAAGTATTAGACAAAGTCACTTTTTCCTCGGAAACTTGACCAATCCCACGAACACCTATGTGTTCACCATTAGCAACAAGCAAGCCCATATTCTTAATGGGAACCACATTTTTTAAGTTACGCATATCAGGGGTCATATGATTAAAACATGCTAAATCGAGAAGCCAAGTACTCTTTTTACCTGAACCCTGGATAGTGGCGAATGCAACACTAATGGCAGTGGGAAGAGAGCGCTGAAGAGCTGCATTCACTAACTGTTCAACATTGGCAGCAAAGATAGAGTTTCCGCTAGCTTCGGCAGGTTGTGTGGGTTAAGCAGCATAAGCTGGCCTCCCTCGAGCAGCCCCAGCATTGCTCGTTTCACCCAGATATTGGGATCGGCGTTCCCAATTTCGCGCAGCAGCCGGTGGGCGATCCCAAGGGCGATCTGAATTTGGCGGTCCCTTTCTCCCACCAACTGCCCAAGCTTCATTGCGTTCACGTTGGTGGCATTCCAACACTATATGACCACCACGCTTGCAATAAACACAGTAATTTTGGCGCTTGCAATGCTTCCTAACATGTCCCTTTTCTCGGCAAAAATGGCATTCCACTTCGGCAACATGACGCTGAAATTGGGGCCGGCCAATTGCATATGCAGAGTTATCATAAGCAGAATTAGCAGCAAGAATCACCTCACCCTCACCTGGACGGATGTCGAACCGAGCTTGGGTTCGAAGTCGGGTTTCTTCCATAACCTGTTGCGCTAGAACACATTCAAACCAGAGATTATCTTTGTTCAATAGAGCAGAACGGACTGGCTCGAACTCTGGCCAGAGACGCATCAGAAACTGAAGAAGCCGCCCTTGTTGACGTTCGGCGAGAGCATCTTCAGAGGGAACAACTTGTGGACTAAGAGCCACCAGGAGAAGATCGTACTCGGTCCATAATTCTTGAGCACGATTGAAATATTCAGTGACAGAGTGATCTCCCTGCTTCAGTTGAGCGAGAGCTGTCTGGATTTCAAACTGTCTTGCAGCATTAACGGTGGAATAGGTGGATGCAAGGTGCCGCCACATGTGATTTGCTGTCGGGAATAAACGCAAACTCAAGCATGTTGATGGATCGACAGTATTTAGAATCCATGAACGAAACCGAGCATCATTTTGATTCCAAGATGCAATTTCTTGCGCAGGTGAGGTCGCTGGGGGCTTTGGTGCGGTGCCATCAAGGATTGCGAGCAACCCCTTTCCTTCAACGAACACGCGGAACTGAAATTCCCAGAGTGAATAGTTGGTAGAGCTAAGACGAACGGTAGGTCTCTCTGAATCCATTGTGTTTGGCTCTGATACCATGTTAACTTGACTGATCGGAGTTTGAACGAGAACTGAATTGAACTGAATTGAAGAACACAGACAGTTTACGTAGTATCCCTGATGATCAGGACTAATCCACGGGAGAGCGTACAAAGCTCTCCAGGCTACTGGTATTATTATCAAAGACGACTTAAGCTACCAATCATACATACGTGCAACATATATACTTCACAAAGGAAGGAGAAAGCAGTCGAACCCTAGTACCAGAGACAAGTCTGTGCATGGATTGCATGGGCCAAATAAATGCAAGTGGGCTCGTGGGCTATGTACAGCAGGAAACAAAACACATCGTTTAACAAATTCAATTTCTCTCGTCCATCTAAACATTACAACCTACGTACGCAAAGCTAGCTGATATCCATGAGTAGTGTTCATGGATGGATTATTGCAGCTGAATAGGAGAATATCGAGCTAGCCGTGGGGTGCGATAGGGCTGTGGTTCTTATTCTTGATGAAGTTACCCATAGCTGCATGCTGGTAGCGGTGGCGCTTGATATTATCATCACTTCCAGAAAGCTCCGTAGCGCTGGGACGCTCATCATGGCGCTGACACTTAATAGTGTTGGTGTTGTTGTCACAAGTTTCGTCGTAGTCCTCATCGGAGTACTGTATGTGGATGTATGTGAATTGGTGGTGGTGGTGCTCAATTTGCCGCCGAGGATTCCGGTGATCATCGGTATGGTGGAAGAAGTGCGTTGAGGCCATGGTTGGTTTGTAATTACTTGCTTACTACATGTCCAAAGGAAATGCTTAGTTAGTTGTTTCGCCCCAATTTATATACGAAATGGGAAGTGGCCAAGTGGGTTCTAGTATTCGATTCCATTTATGATGATAAGTTTGCACGCAGAAAATAAAGCATACCTATGGCCTATGGGGTTTAGCTTTTCTGGTTAAATTTATCCAGAGAGAATCGGCTTTGAAGGAAGACGGGATCAACAAGTTGAAGTGGATAAACTCCGTCGTCTTTATGAAATTGAAGGTGTGGCTGTCGCGCTTTTATTTCCCTTTAAATAATTATCACGTATTTTTTATCCATTACTTTCAAGTTGAAGGATGGTCGCACTCTTAACTTGATAGGAAGAAGATAGAAGAATCGTTCAAACAATGTGTTTTCTTTGCAGTATTCCACATTTAGGCTCAGTGTTCTTTAATAACTCCTCCATTTCATTTCAAAATACATTTAGTTAATCAAGATCTATTTCTTACTTATAAATTGCATATCACTCGGCTTTTCTTGATGTGGGATTTGAAATTTCCTTTCATTAGTTTTTTGTCTTAATTTGACGAATAAAATCATAAAAAAATCTGTTCTAATTTAATGTTTATGTAACTAAAGTCGAACACTCATAAAAATTGCAACGTACTAATTAATTACCTGATATTTCAAATCTAGTTGGTTAACAATAGCAATTATGTTAACAGGGCCCGTTTAGTATCATTTTGTTGTTGTTGTGGTTGCAGTGGTGTTGTGTAAACAGATGTACAACCACAACAGGAAAAAAAACAGAAAACACAAACCTGTTTAGTTGATAAATCTGAAATATCATGAAAGCTGAAAACAAGAAACAAAAACGCGTTTAGTTACTACTATAAATCTGAAAAATACTTTGAAGAAGTCGAAGTTACCTGCTGCAGGGAAGATGGAGTGAGGCTTTTGTGGAGGGGAAGTGGTCGGCGGCGGCAGGGCTGTGTCGGCGGGCGGGTCGTCGGCAGCGGGTTGGCGGGCTGGGCTGGCTGCGCGGCGGAGGAGTCGGGCTGCGCGGCGGGCTGGGTCAGCGCGGAGGCGGAGGGGTCGGGCGCGGAGGCAGAGGGGTCGGCAAGCGGACGTCGACGGCGGGTCGGCGGGCTGGGTTGGCTGCACGGCGGGCTGGATCGGCGCGGAGGTGGAGGGGTCGGGCGTGGAGGCAGATGGGTCGGCGACTGAGGAGGTGGCGGGCGGCGCGGCGGAGTTGAGGCGGAGGTGGCGCCTTGTTGAGAAGGGTGGCGGGTGACGCCTCTGTTGAGAAGGGTTTAGGGGGAGAATAGTTTGGGGGGCGGCGGCTGATATGTTAGAAGTAGGGTTTGGGGGGTGGCGGCTGTGTTAAAAAAAAATTGCTTCTGTGGGGATTCGAAAACTGGTCTGGTTTAATGAAATCAAGTGTCCAACCAGTAGGAATCCCGTGTGCAACATATTTTAAAATCAGATCCAAAGCAATAAATTGTTGTTTCTCATATTTGGGCCTTGTTGTGCAACTCTGATTCACAACAGAAAATAGAAACCCAACTAAACATGTTTTTTTTCTTGGTTTCTCCAATCTTAAAAAACACAACAGGAAACAAAAACAGGCAACAATACTAAACGGGGCCTAGTTTCCAAACAACATGAAAACCCACTTACATCCCCAAAAAATTGAGTTATTGCCGCTTTTCACCTCACATTACCATCTATATAAACACCCCTTTGTTCAACATTACAAACCATGAGCAAGACTTGCAACCCTAAATTAACAACTATCAAGAAAGTGGTTAATTACCATACAAACAAATTATGATCAGTTGCTTCTCAACCGCGGTCCTGTTAATTTTGGCCGCCTCATCCTCCGCCGTAAGAGTATCCTCTGACGGCGGCGACGACGGCTTGTTGTCGTACCAACATGTCTCCGTTTCCAGCGAGCTGACCGGCGGGAAGGTGTTGATGGTCCACTGCAAGTCGGCCGACGAAGACCTCGAGATCCATAACTTAACGACGGGGTCAGAATTCAAGTGGCAGTTCGATCCATTGATCCAGGGCGGAACCACCTTGTTTGGTAAATCTTGTGGTTGGGTAGTATTTCTGGTTCGATTATGGTTCCACCATTTTGCCTGATTAATTTGATCAAATTGATAGGTATTTTATGTTTTAAGAGACAAAATTTTATAGGAAAGACAATGAAGTTTTTCGTTAGGGATCAATCAAACGAGTACTATTACACACTATTATATGATATAATTTTACTAGGAAGCTATTGGTTAGGCAAAATAGTGTTTACACTCCATTTTGTTAGTATGTGGTTTCACCAAAGAACATATGTACGATTTGATATGTAACACGAATCACTACCATACCACCAAATTGTGTAGGTTGAGTTGGAGCATAGTACTATGTCCACAAAACCTTTCTGGATTAAGGCTTCGTTTGAGTTAAGCCTGGAATACCATAAGGGTCTTCTGCTTAATTACGAATACGAATGACAATGGAGCGGATTTAGATGGGTTCTTCTTATAGCTATCTGATTATCATTTCTAAATGGCTACATTTATACCCGCTGCATACCCATGCAAAGAGAAATTTGCAACTTCATCTCTATGTCTCCGGTTTTTGAATACCTAATATTCTCAACTTATAAAACGTACTAAATATGTAAATTTTCGGTTATAACATCAAATACTAATAGATCGTAAACTCAACAAAGGTAGAACCATTTGTAATTCCAGATCTAAGCATACAATCCTACAAAGTAATAAGAAAATCACAATTTTGGCATCAAATCATTCTAACTTTTGTATATATAAAAAATTATATGGGAGGGGAGAGCATAAAATCATACTCGCTCAATCCCCATCAATTTTTTTTTTGTGTTTTCTATCCATATTCCCCTCATACCCAGTCAATACAAAGATTCTCATTGTTGACTAGGTCGGGAAGATCGGATATCCATGATCATGGATTTAGTTACCCTCCCTAATGATGAAGGCTCCCTCTCATTCCCCGGTACATAGTATATGTTGTAAATCTTGAACCTTCCAGTGACATGATGATCACCAGTCTAATGTATATGATGTAACACATTTTATGGTAGCAATAATGCAAACTATTATGGTGCTTACAACACCATCTAAAAGGATCAATGTTCTTAATTACACCTTTCATTGTCATTGAACTGTGATTGATGTTTTGTGATCATTAGATAAAAACAATGAATTTTATAAATAAGATATCCATCAACGATAGAGGAACACCCATCGTAAGGTTTTTTTCCTGTTATAGATTCATTTTGAAGTCGGCATGAAAATAATTTTAAATGACGCGAAAAGTATTTTTACTTAGTAACTTAAAATAGATCGATTTGCAGAGCTCAGATAGGTTCTTGATGCAACATGTAAGAGCATCTTCTTGCGGCGCCGAACTAATGATTAAAGGTTGTGGCGTGGTCTGGCCACACTGAAATCAGAAGTTAGTGGGCATCACGTGAGAGTTCGTTTAATTTCCGTTATAACTTTGTTTTAAATTAGGCGCGAAAGTTAATTTATGTTTGGGGTAAATAAAATTTCAAGATTGTTGTGCGTAGAAAATGCAATCCAATAATACACAAACAATGTCGCAGAAGATAAAAAACATATAAAAGTACACATAAGAACGTTTATATAGCTACAAAAACTTATATTTTTTCTTCTCTTAAGTTGTAACCAAGTTTCAAGAAAGCATTATGTCCTAAGGCGGGTGTTGGGTCTTGCCTAGTGTCTCCATGTCGACATCACCTAAGAATGTCTAACCTTTAAAAGGAAAACAACAATTTGAATTTTGAAGATATACCAACATGTCTTCTGATGGCGGAGGCGATGACGGCTTGTTGTCGTACCAACATGTCTCCGTTTCAAGTGAGCTGGCCGACGGGAAGGCTCCCTCTCGTTCCCCCCTATACATAGTTTATATTGTAAATCTTGAACCTTCCAGCGACATGATCACTAGTCTAATGTATATGATCTAATACATTTTGTGGTAGTAATAGTACTGCAAACTGCCATGGTACTTACAACACCATTTCAAAGGATCGTTGTTCTTACACCATTCACTGTCATTGAACTCTATGGATATTTTGTGATTGTTAGATGAATACAGTGACAATTCTATAATTAAGATATCCATCTACGATCGAGGAACACCCATTGTAAAATACAACGACTGCCAAATGTTGTATGGACGTTCCTATAAGATGTAAGAACCGTAGCTGAATTCCTATAAAAAATCATCTTTTTTTTTTGTGTGAATGGGGAACGTGACAAAATGTTACCGTTCTTGTTATACATACATGTATACTTTTTATGACAAGTTTTGTAATGACGTGAAACAAACTTTGATAGAGAACATGCATGGTCCCTACTATTAAATACCAAAGGATTTCTTTTTAATTATTTGAAGCTGTCAACTGCATGCAATTAATGCATGGACTACCTTTTTTTTTTTGGCTTTTGCACTTCCTTACTTCCATATGTTAGCTCAAACCAAAAAACATAGCAAAACAACGAGAAAATGCACATACATTAGATGCATGCATACTTTTTATGAAAAGTGCAACTTTTAGTGACTAGAAGCGGTACTTTAGCTTAAAATATCCAACTACAAATGTCGATTCCTTCAAAAATAGTTTTGGTCGGCTTTTGTCGTGTATAATTAATATTCTATGAATAGATATATGCAGGTGAGTTAATTACATTATTGATAATTTAAATATGAGTATTAAATATATGACGAGAAGCTAAATATATAAGTGGAAATTAGAAACCAATTTTACATATATGACAGCATATTAAAAATAGATGTGGAAATTTGAAATTAATTACATATATGGCAGAATATTAGATAGGTTTATGTCTTATTGATTATAAGACAAGAAAGTCTATTTTTTAAATAAATTTCATTTGGAGTTGATGACGGAAACTTATTAGGGTTGTGACCGTGAACTAACTAATGTATGGTCGGGACTTTATTTATAACATGTGTGAGCCTTTTTCCGTTATAGATTTGTTTTAAAGTCGGCGCAAAAAGAATTTTAAGGTGGTATAATAATAATATCAATTTGCAGAGCTTGGACAGTTTCATTATGCCACGCGTTAGATCATTTTCTTGCGACACCGAACCAATGATTAAAGGTTGTTGTGTGGTCTGGCCACACTGAAGTCAAATGTTAGTTGACATCACGTGAGAGTTTGTTTAAATTTCGTTATAGCTTTGTTTTAAATTAGGCATGGAAGTTAATTTATGTTTGGGGTAAATAAAAATTTCAAGATTATTGTGCATATAAAATGCAATCCAATAATACACAAACAATGTTGCAAAAAATATAAAACATAGAAAAGTACAAATACACATACGAACTTGGATATAGCTAAAAAACTAAGTCTTAACCAAGTTTGGGGTAAATAAATATTTTTTCTTCTCTTTAGTCTTAACCAAGTTTCAAGAAAGCACTATGTCATAACGCGGGTGTTGGGTCTTGCCTAGTGTCTCCACTTTAGCATCACCTAAAAATGTCTAAACTTTAGAAGGAAAACAACAATTTGAATTTTGAATGAAATAGACACTTGTATTAGTAAAAGTTTGGATAACAATATCTAACTCGTGAGAATGAATATCATATAACTAAGTCGATTTGCTTAGTCAAATGGCTAAGTATTATCATAACAAAATTGGTTCAAGTCAAATGTCATTCAATATGATGGTCCACAATATCCATTACCAATTAATTACACAAAATGATAGTTTTGAAAATTTTGAAAAGTTCATTAAATGAAATTAATTATTTTTCAATTTTACAACATTCTCTCTCACCAAACCTCTTTCTCTAAACCTATGATTTTTCATCACTCCTTTCCTATATTTCTCTCTCCTAATTATAGCTCTCTCTCTCTCTCTCTCTCTCTCTCTCTCTCTCTCTCTCTCTCTCTCTCTCTCTCTGCCCTTCTGTGTGGGTTTGTTGATTGTAGTTTGAAAGTTGACTGCTACCAACGACTGTAAAATATTGTATCAGCGTTCCTACATATATGATGTAATTAAGCAACCTAAGTCGAATTCCTATAAACAAATCACCTTTTTTTATTTTTGTGGATGAGGAATATGACACCCTAGAACGTAATGGTTCTGGTTCTAGATGCATATATACTTTTTAATGACAAGTTTTGTAACCACGCGAAACAACCTCTGATAGAGAACATGAATGGCCTCTGTAATAAATGCCAAAGGATTTCTTCTTAATTGTGCCAAGCTGTGCAATGCATGGTTTTTTTTGGCTTTAGCAGCACCTTACTACCATTTGTCAGCCCAACAGCCCAAACCCAAAAAGCTGAACAAAACAACAAGAAACTACACATAGTGCAAGGTCGTCGTGATTTAATTGTCTTGAGAAAACTGCAAGTGTAACTTTTAGTGACCACAAGAGAATAGCAATAATTTACCCTAAAATTTTCAACCATTACAAAATGTTCATCTCCTCAAATATAGTTTTGTTGGGGTTTTCTCGTGTATATATAATTAATTATCCATGAATTGATATATGCATGTGAGTTACAATTATTGATAATTGAAATATGAGTATTAAATATATGACGAGCAACTAAATATATATGTGGAAATTAGAAACCAATTTTTCATATATGGGAAACATATTAAATATAGACGTGAAAATTTGAAACCAATTACATATATGGCAGGACATTAACTAATTGATTATAAGACATAGAAGTCTTTTTTTTTGGCAAAATTTCATTTGAAGTTGATGCCGCAAACTAATTATTAGGGTTCTGACAGTGAACAAACTAATTTATGCAATTCGGGACTTTATTTGTAACACACGTGAGCATTTTTTTTCCATTAAAGGTTTATTTTGAAGTCGGCGCCGAAAATAATGTTAAGGTGTTAAAATAATCAAATCGATTTGCAGAGCTTGGATAGTTTCTTCATGCCACGTATAAGATCATCTTCTTGCGGCGCCGAACTAATAATTAAAGGTTGTGGCGTGGTCTGGCCACACTGAAATCAAATGTTAGTTGACATCACGTGAGAGTTTGTTTAAATTACGTTACATCTTTGTTTTAAATTAGGCGCGAAAGTTAATTTATGTTTGGGGTAAATAAAAATTTCAAGATTGTAGTGCATAGAAAATGGAATCCAATAATACACAAACAATGTTG